TGGTATTAAGGGGTTAAGAAGCTCTAATCAAGACGCTCTATTCACTGAGCAGCTGGAGGTCGTTAAGCTTCCAGGAATGTGAGTTTGTATAAATAGTCAGCTCACTCGTGTGTTTGCCCCCTTCCCTTTTTTGGGGGGCGTGTTTGCTGAAATGTGTGGTTCTTCACCAGGGTTTTTGTTTTGTGTAAATAAACCTTTTATTTGAGTTCCAAACCGCTTGCTCCAAGATCCCTTTATTGAAAAGATGCTGACTCTCCAGCCCTTCTTGAGCCGCTGTGCGAAATGCTCTGCTGTAATGGCACATTGTCGCATCGGAAGCGCACTGGACATTTGATTAGCATTAAGCTAATTAAAGTTTAATGGGACAGGTTCTGGACAGGTTATGGTGTTTGTACGTCAAGAAGGAGATAAGGAGTGCAGTTCAGAGTGATTTATGAAAGGACTGGAGCGAAGACAGAAGCGGTTGCCGACAACGAAAGCCTTCAAAGCAGCTTGAGTCCTGCAACGTGCCTAGGAAAAGTTTTAAAGAGGCACTGCGCAGTTTGTACTCGCTGGAAGACGTCTTATTCCTCGAGGGGCCACCTCAGCAGCTGGGAGACGGTCTACAGGTCTGTGAGTATCGTTCCTAAGCCCCAGGGAGGATGGCAGAGTCCCAGGAAAGTTTTACTGTCCCATTTACGCGACTCAATGGGAAAAATTGGCAAGATTGGAAGGCTAGAGTAAGGGTTTGGTTGCAAGCAAAAGAGTTGTGGAGTTGTACTGAAGCACCGCCTTTACAGGCAGCTGCAGACGCGTCTGCAGAAGACAAAGCAGCAGCGGCAGCTTCACAGAAACGCGACAGGAAAGCCCAAGGTCTACTAGTTTTGGCAGTGGGACCAGAGCAAATGCCTTATGTTTCTGAGTTAAAGAACACGCATGAGGTCTGGACGGTTCTGCAGCGGCTCAATTCCAGAAACACTGCGGGGGCCAAGATCCATGCTACAAGATGTTTGTTTGATTTACGTCTCCAACCGGGAGCGTGTGTGAAAGAACATATTGCCAAAATGGTGTCTGCCTTTAATCAACTAAGACAGCTGGGCATTCCTTTCTCTATGGAGCAGCAGTCATACATTTTGTTGTCTTCTCTTGATAAAAGCTATGAGACTCTAGCTTTAACTTTGGAAGCTATGCCTTCAACTGAATTAACCCTTGAATACATTTCTTCTCGACTTGCAGATGAACAGGATAAAAGGCAAAGAGAAAGAGGTTTGTCTTCAAAGGGGAGTTATGCTGTGCCTAAGAGTGGGGATGCTGAGTTTGACCACACAGTAAATGCTTTTGCAGCTAGACACTGTTTTCGCTGTGGTTCCTCTTCCCATTTAATCAGGAATTGTACACGTGAACCTGGTCAAGACAGCACCAAGGCCGTTACCCCTAGTTACCAGACAAGGAGTTCCAGGGGACGTCGAAGAAGAGGAGGAGGTCGTGGCTACTCCCACAGCACACAGCACATGGCTTCAGCAATGGCGTTGATGCAAGGGCGTGGCCAAGGCAGCAATCTACGCTGGTTGATCGACAGTGGTGCATCTCACCACCTGGTGGCGCCATCTAGTGTCCGTTTGCAGAATTGCAGACATTTGCAAACCCTTAAAGTTGTGACAATGGCAGATTCAACTAAACGTTCCTTAGAGACCGTAGGCACAGTGTTTTTGAAGTGTTTGCAAACAGAAATTGATGCCTACGTGCTAAAGGGAATGAAGGGGTGTATTTTGTCTGTGTCAGAACTTGATAGAAATGGGTTTAAAACTGTGTTTGAAAATGGGGTTTGCACTATTTCAAAGAATAACGCATCTCTTTTGCAGGTGGAATGCAGAGATGGGTTATATTATTTTGAGACAAGTCCAGATGAAGTTGAACAGGTTCATGCTGGTTGTGTGAACTCGCCTACCCATAATTCTTGTGTTCATTTATGGCACCGCCGTTTGGGACATATTAATTTTCAGTATGTTAAAAGGCAACCTGAGTTATCAGAAGGGTGCAAATTGAACAAATGTACTAAGTATTTGGATTGTACTGCATGCAAAAGGGCGAAGGTTCATAGATGCAGCTATCCCAGTTCAAATAGGAAATCTGACAAAGTATTCCAACTTGTGCATATGGACCTGTGTGGCCCAATGCCTGTTGCTAGCATGGGAGGTTCGAGGTATGCACTGTGTCTCTCAGATGACAAAACAAAGGTTACATGGTTTTTTCCTCTCAAAACAAAAGCAGATACTGCAGAAACAGTTAAAAATTGGGTTCATGCAGTAGAACTTGAATTTGGTACTAGAGTTCTTGCTTTTCAGACAGACAGAGGGTCAGAATTTACCGGGTCTGTGTTGCAGAATTTCTTTAAGGAAAAAGGAATTAAGCATCGTCTGTCTACACCTTATTCCCCCCAAGAAGGAGGTGTGGCCGAACGTAAAAACAGGGTTCTGCAAGAGTTGGCAAACTCTATGTTGTTTGATGCTAAACTTCCTCAAAGTTACTGGGCGGAAGCCTGGCAGACGGCTACTCATGTTCTGAACCGAGTATATAATTCGGTAATTGATACTACGCCATATTTTGCTTTATATGGGAAGAAGCCCAAAGTTAATTACTTTCGGGTGTTTGGATCTCAAGCCTATGTACTTATCCCAAAAGCGTTAAGGAAAAAGGGAAGTCCAAGGGCTAGGAAACTCATCTTTTGTGGGTACGAACCACACGCCAAATCTTGGAGGTTCGTGAACCCAGATGGGGATACTACAAGAGTGGTCCTCAGTAGGAGCGCTGAATTTTGTGAGCAATCCGGATGGACTCACTTACATGCTAACCCTGACATTTTGAGAGATGATTTAGGCATTTATGCTGAGAAAGAAAGTCCAGAGGGTGATGAGCCAGAAGGGGACGGTGCACATGGTTCAGATGCAGATTCTGACCAGGCACAAGGTTCTTCTCCTAAGGTAGAAAAGCCAGAATCTAAGAGTGTTCCAACATCGCCAGTCAGTAGGCCTAGCAGACAGCAAAAGCGAAGCAGGTCGCCTGCAACACCAAGCCCAAGGGAGGTATCTAAACGGAGGTCTTTATCCCTAGAGGCACGTCCAGACATAAAGTCTGAGACAGATTCTGACAGCCAACAGTCAGAGGGGGCACAAGAGGAACAATTGCGCAGGTCAAAACGTGCCACAAAGGGCAAGCCGCCAGAGCGGTTTAAGGTGACAAGTGTATACGTAAATATGGCACAGTGTGAGCCAGATAGCTATATAGAGGTACAACAGCTTCCAAGCTCAGAAGCCGTAAAATGGCAGGAAGCAATGGAAAAAGAGATGGCTTCAATGAAGTCTCTTGGTGTGTTTACAAGTACAGAGCTTCCGAAAGGGCAACAAGCTGTAGGTTGTCGATGGGTATATCGTTTAAAGCCCACAACTACTGAGGAGTTGCAATATAAAGCCCGACTAGTTGCAAAAGGGTTTTCGCAGCGCAAAGGAGTTCACTATTCTCAAATCTATGCCCCTACTTCAAGATCGGAGTCATTAAGAATGCTTTTAGCCTCTTCAGCTAAGAAGGGAAATAAGCTGTTTCATTTTGATGTCAATGTGGCTTATTTAAATGCAGACTTACAGGAGGAAGTCTATATGACGCCACCACCAGGTTTTGAAGGAGACAAGCCAAACCAGGTCTGGCGCCTACACAAATCCATTTATGGGTTGAAACAGTCCGCCCGTAATTGGAATTCCTGCTTAAACGATGCTCTAGAGAGCATGGGGTTCAGAAAGAGCGCAGCAGATGCGTGTCTTTATCTAAAAGGCTCGGGATGTGAACAAGAAGCAGTCTTGATATTTGTTGACGATTTATTATACAGTGGAAAGGACGATAAACTTGCACAACAATTTGCCACAAAGCTTGGAGAAAAGTTTCAGATAAAATCACTAGGCAATGTATCTGTTTATCTAGGAGTTAAAATTCAGCAAGATGAAGATGGGAACTATTGGCTCAGCCAAGAAGCTAAGATCCAGCAGTTGCTGGAAAGGTTTAAAATGGACAACTGTGCTGGTGTTAAAACCCCAATGGAGTTAAGTTACACAAAGGATGCTCAAACTGAGCAACAGGCAGAGTTCTGTAATCCCGGGGTTTACCAGTCAGCGATAGGCAGTCTACTCCACATTGCACAGTGGACTCGGCCCGATATAACATATGCTGTCAACATGCTGTGTAGACAAGCTGAAAAACCATCAATGCATGCTTGGCAAGGAGTAAAAAGAGTTTTGAGGTATCTCCAAACTACCAAAAGGTTTCGCTTAAAACTATCAGCAGAGGGCAGCACACAACTTGAATGTTGGGCCGACAGCAGTTGGGCAGATGCTGGACCAGATAGAAAATCAGTATCAGGAATGGCGATAAAATTTGGAAATGCACTAATTGGTTGGAGATCAAGAAAACAATCACTTATAGCTTTAAGTTCAACTGAATCTGAGTTCAATGCATTATCAGATGTATGTAGAGAACTGGAATTTTATAAGCAACTGGTACAAGAATTGTTTGGAGAATGTTCCCTACCTATCAGAGTGTGGGAAGACAATCAACCTTGTATTAAACTAGCTAAATCAGGTCAATTCAAGGCACACACAAAACACTTGGATATCCGTTATCAAAATGTATGCCAAAGTGTAAAACAAGGTTTAATTGAACTAAAGTATTGTCCAAGCCAAGAAAATCTCGCAGACGGTTTTACAAAAGCTTTGAGTCCGCAATCTCATAAATGTTTCTGTTCAGGTTTAAATTTGAATTAAGGTTGGTACAGCTCAGTGTTACGAGCGAGAGGGGGTGTTGGTATTAAAGGGTTAAGAAGCTCTAATCAAGACGCTCTATTCACTGAGCAGCTGGAGGTCGTTAAGCTTCCAGGAATGTGAGTTTGTATAAATAGTCAGCTCACTCGTGTGTTTGCCCCCTTCCCTTTTTTGGGGGGGCGTGTTTGCTGAAATGTGTGGTTCTTCACCAGGGTTTTTTGTTTTGTGTAAATAAACCTGTTATTTGAGTTCCAAACCGCTTGCTCCAAGATCCCTTTATTGAAAAGATGCTGACTCTCCAGCCCTTCTTGAGCCGCTGTGCGAAATGCTCTGCTGTAATGGCACATTGTCGCATCGGAAGCGCACTGGACATTTGATTAGCATTAAGCTAATTAAAGTTTAATGGGACAGGTTCTGGACAAAAGCATCCTTCTCCATTTCAGTAAAAACAAGGGGTGAGTTTTAAGGCATGAAAATACTTGCTACAACCCAAAACATATTTACTCAGAAGTAAATTTCTCTGTGTTCCACGAGGCTTATGCCTAAGTAAATTTGCACAGATCGGCAATCCAGGTCCCTTATACTTTCACCTCATAAGGTGAAGGTATCTCCATCCCCAAATATGTCACTATTGCCAGTCTATCCTGTCAGATGTCCTCTCAGTGACAAGTTAAATAGCGTCCAGAGGCATTATCCATTGGAGGATGGCAGCTGTTCCTTTAAAAACTCACTTGTTGTGAACATTGTCTCTTAACACCTGTGCCAGAAATTCTGATAATGCTCATCAGTAGTCAATAAAGTAATGGAAGGTTATTACGTTAATTAACTGAAGTGTAGTTTTGGAGCAGTGCTTTTGAAATGAATATATACAGCAAATATGGTTGGAATGAGCACTCTTGCTTATTCTCTTCTCAAGGTATCCACTCAAGTTTTCTGAGGTAATATCTGACAGGATTGAAGTAATTGGTTTAAAGCTTGATGTGCATATTAAAATAATTTATATGTTACCCTGAGTTTGGGGCACAACAGATGACTCATAACAAATCCAAAAACACTCTGACAGAGCAATCCTACCAGGCCAAGGGATGAAGATTAAATGGCAGGCGAACCAGCAAATCCAAAGTCTTATCTGTCTGGTGCTAGCAGGGAACAAGTTGTGAGGGGGTTGACACTTTCCCTCTCCTTTCTGAGTGTGTGTATATATCTTTATCTATTTATCTGGTTGGTTGGTTGGTTGGTTGGTTGGTTGGTTGGTTGGTTATTTATCTAGCTAGCTAGCTAGCTATCTAGCTATACACCAGTTGGAACTAATGGGAAGGAAATAAACTATGCCAGCTCCAAAGATTCCACAATTCCCCACTCCAGGGCAACAGGAGAGCTTTGGATCCCTCAGGTGCACTTTTAAAGAAGCAGAAATCTGCCAAATGATGTAGCTCCTGTCCAAGGCAGGAGGCAACAAAAAGCTTTCTGCTCGTAGAATGGTGCTCCACTGATCCCCAACACAGAAAGTTTTATGAGATGCAGAAATATGCTCAGTTCTAGAAACCAGAGGCCTTTCTTCTTGGAATAATAGGTTTGGAATTGCCCAAGAAAGATGTTAAATTGTTTTTGTATGCCACAACTGCAGTAAAAAAATTGTTAGCTAAGGATTGGAAAACACAAGAAGTCCCAACAGTGGAGAAATGGCAGATGAAGATGATGGACTTTTCGGAGCTAGCTGACCTGACCAGAAGAGTCCGCAACCAGAAGGAGGAGGAGTACCAGGAGGAATGGATAAAATTTAAAGACTATTTACTTAAATATGTTAAGTTAATTTAAATGGAAAAGCTTGCAAATATCAGATAGGCTTAGGATTTAAATATGTAATGTTAGGAATTAATATGTTTAATGCCAAAATAGAAAGAAAGAAAGATGTTAAGTGATTAAGTTAATTTTATGAGAAAATTGGTTTTGGAAAACTGTTAAAATGATATACACTGAAATTCAACCACGGGGATACGAGGAAGTCACTTAACAATGTTACTAAGATTGGTTTAATTACGGTTGAGATTTATGTTTGTTTGTTTGTTTGTTTGTTTGTCTGTTTAAATTTTTTTTTTGGAAAATCAATAAAAAAATTGAAAGAAAAAAGAGAAATATGCTCAGTTCTACTCCATCGTTCACAAAGGAATTGTTAAGTATTTGTCTAAATATATACTAGGAAATAGTCTGGGTGGGATTCAAGTCTGCATTGCTCTAGCTTTACATGCTCCTGTAGGAAGATCTGACTCACCCTAGAACCATAAGTCTATATAAATGTACAAATATGTACAAACTTTGTTGAGCTACAGCTCCCATCTTTCCTAACTATTGGCCATGTTGGCTGATAGGAACTTGAGTCCAACAACACATTCTAGCTTTTCTTGCACTATTGTGTGGCTCTTGGCCATTCCAGCCAGCCCATTATGTATTGCAGGGGAAATGGATCAGTGAGACCATCCTAAGATGCAGCCTATGCCATGAACACTTATTTTGAAATACAGTGGTACCTCAGGTTACATACACTTCAGGTTACAGACTCTGCTAACCCAGAAATAGTGCTTCAGGTTAAGAACTTTGCTTCAGGATGAGAACAGAAATCATGCTCCGGCGGCGCGGCAGCAGCGGGAGGCCCCATTAGCTAAAGTGGTGCTTCAGGTTAAGAACAGTTTCAGGTTAAGAACGGACCTCCGGAATGAATTAAGTACTTAACCCAAGGTACCACTGTACATGAGGTGAATAGCTACACACCTGTGCTATGGACCTCTAGGCAACCAGAGAGGGAAACCTTTTGTAATATTGGGACAAAACAGTTCTTTTCTCTCAGGCTGTCACAGTCACTAATATGGGTGCATATGGGTGATAAATATATTTGTGGACCAAGAACCTTTGTAGCTGTGTTTGCAAGAATGAAATATACAGTATACCTAACAATATTTCCCCCTCAAGTTCAGATGAAGCTCAATGAACTTTGTACAGGTTCTTGCTATTTCTCATGCCAGTAGGCCCAAGGAAAGGAAAGGGGAAAATCAATCATGGTGGCAGAGAACCTGTCCATTGTTTGCTTTCCTGCTGCCTGAGAGAGCTCCCACCGTAGCCTACTGAGGCAGGGATTATTCATAGCCCTCTGACTCAGTGCCATCCCTGCCTCTGAGCTCACAAATCCCAGACTGAGATGACTTCATGTAGCACAGCGTTCCTTGGACGTTTAGCACCACATTAAAATGTCATTTTGAGCAATTAATATTTTATTTATAAATGCTTTATAAATATTTATTATAACAGAGCATTTAAGCAGCAGCTCATCAGGAAAGAGAGAAAAGCAATCTATTACATTTGTATTAAAACATGCTCAAATATTTAATTATAAGAGAGAATATTTAGACAAACCATAAAATATGTATGCTGGCAGTGTGCTCTCGGCCAGCTCCTGTCAAACTGCCAAGCTGAGCTGAAAATATGGGGTAAGTTGTGTTCCTTGCAAAAACCCAGGGATGTAATCTGGGAATGATTCTAAGTTCTCCTCTGCATCCCTCTTTATAATGTCATGACCACCTCCAAAGGCCGTGGAGTACATTTGAGGTGACTCTGCCTGAGAACTGTCCTGGATGGGAGACTGACCACATCCCAGGGCTTTCTGTTAACATAAAGCCACTACAAATGGCACCAAATGGCAGAAGCGCTGAATTTGCCTTTGCAAAGATAACAAGTAAACAGATCACAAAACTCATTTAATGAAGCAGTCCATGTGAATCTTTAAAGCCAGCAGTTTCTAACAGGCCTTGGCAAATGTTTGTGTATGTGTGTGTTTTTCTAACTGGAAAAGAAAAATAGCTATTGCTCACATTGATCTCCAGTATAACATGTCACCAGGTCCATACCCTGGTCTGGAAATGTAATTAAAAGCACTCTGTTTTGCTAATGGTGACTTACTAAAGTGTAGGAACTGATGTTTACATTTGCTCCCTCTTTTATTGCTCAAACATTGGTACGGAAAGAAAAGTTAATGCATCTGAATTATCTTGAATGGCTGCAACTGATTTATATCAGACTTGGAGTGCTGTGGTTTACATACATCATTTTCTTTCTGGATTACTTCACCATTTGATTTGTCTTCTTCCTCCGCCTTCTCCGTTTGCTCTATTTCCTGCCTCAGATCTGCGCTCTCTCTCTCTCTCTCTCTCCTCCCACCCTTTGCCATATTTTTATGTTACCTACAGATAAACATCTCCAAACAGCCAGCTTCTTCTCTTTCTACTAACGCTCCCTTTATGTTACAGATCTTTAGGTGGTGGTGGACCAGTACAGCTAAACAAATAATCCCACTTGCTGCAGTATATTACTGAGAATTGCTGTTCATAATATTTTGTGTTGTTGTAGCAACATGTTCCTTGTCTATATTTAGTTTAATAGCTGCTTTTGGAATATTGCAAGCTAGTTGCAGTATATTATCAAATGGCTTTGAATGACATCATAACCCCAGAGTGCCATCTCTGGTGGGTTATAAAATCCTCCCCAACTCTCCGTGTGTATTAATAGCTTGTAATATAATTTTAAACCAGGTATTAGAGTTTACAGCAGGAGGAATAAAAAGAAATATTCCAGCCCTATGCAGTTTCACGAGGCAAGGAAGAGGGCACAGGAAAGCTCTTCTCTCTTGCTCTTCCAGTACAGAACTGGTGTGGCTCAAATGGCAGTACACTACCCAGGGTGGCAGAGCAGACACTGCTGGCTGTCAAACACTCTACCATTAGCAATCCCTGATTTGGGGTCATGCTCTAGGGTGCACATTCTGTTTGGGGGGGCATGGGCTGGGTCTGATGGTCTTCCACTTTTGCCCTGCTTGAATTGAGAGTGTGACCTAGAATGCTCTCCTGTGGCTTCTCATTTCAGGCTACGAACAGTGACACTAATATCCTGTTGTTCAAGGCCACTTGCCCACAACTGCTGATCTTGAGAAGCCCCAGGGTCTCCCAGAATACAGTTTGAAAACCACTGATCTATATCTCTGCTGTTGACTTCCCAGCTTTTAGCCTGTGACATGCTGCTATCACCTCCATTTGATGGCACAATTCCACATTGTTGTAATATGCTCAGGATAGCCTGAAGGGGGTGGATGGAGCCCAGTTTCCCACTCTATTTGCCATCCAAACTCCCAGCACACCCAACATTTATCCATGGGGAAATCCCAATGAACAACCCCAAACAATTAGTTCCCTTTGCTATCAACCTTTAGCTATAATGTGACAAAGCATATCCTCATCCACCCCAGGCGGTCACGTATTATAGGTGGACAAAGGTGGCAATTTTGGTTTGTTCAGTTTGACACATTTCCACATCAGTTTGTAAACCATTTTTATAGCCCTCATGAAAAATTGTCTACATTTTTTTGCGCATTATATT